TCTTTGGTCCTGCCCAGCAGCCACTGGACCGGACCTGTGGGTCGCTGTTCCAGCTTGGCCTCAGACCTGTGTCATCCCATGGACTGTCTGCATGGTCTGGACTGGGCGGTTGAACCTGGCTGTGGTCCTGAGCATGGCCAGCCCTGCCCACCTCAGGTACCAAGGGGCTGGCCCACGGCTGCTGAGGCCCCTACCCTGCCAGCCATCTTCTCCCCCTCACTTCCCAGCTCCTTGTGGCTTTTTTTTTGGCCTGAAAAGCCACTAGTCACTACTGTTACGTTCTGTGTGATTGTCTCTACGCTGAGAAATGGAGGCTTCCATAGCTGCTCTGAATTCTAGGCCCAGTTTATGCCTCTTCTGAAGAAAAAAAAAGGAGGAGAAGGGAAGCAAAAATGTGTGCTTCCCCCTAGCAAAAATACTAAACATTTCTAAAACTCGAAGCTTAGGAGGATTTTGCAGGAACAGATGTGTGGGGAGATAGTATGAGGAGAGAATGGGCTGTTGTTATGTACAGGAAGAGAAAACAATGACAGAATGGTGATAGTATGTTGGTTAACTATCTGAAGCAGGTTGTTTAGCAAGAAAAATCACACTTTTTTTGTTTAGATAAAAGGCAAAATTAATATGAAAGAAAAAGATGAGAATGAAGCTGCTGCCCAGCTGTGTTACGTCATTCATCTTGATAATTTTGTATGATACAAGTATAAACTAATTTCACCTTTGTTTCTCCCAAGGTTTCCTCTCTAGTTCATACGTATTGGTTGCAGTTACCAAAGAAGAATGTGCCACTAGTGTTATAAATTCCATTGTCATTTTTACCTAGAGAGCTTTTAGTACAATTAAATAAAACACACAAGAAATGCAAGATGGTATAAAATACAACAGAGTGGATAAGATAGCACCAAGTGTTTAATTTCCTTTTGAATTATGTAAATGCAAATTATTAGTGTAGAGATTATTAGGAAAACTCAGTTGGCAGCCAAATTTAATTGACAAAATTTTGTTGAATATTAATCTTTCTTGCACACAGAAAGGCCGCAGACAGCTAGTTAAAATTGTCTTAGTGCAGACTTTTCTTGTTCTCACACTAAATCTGAAAGATTTGTTGATATTTTAAGATTTCCAGTCAGGTGGCTACACTGTTTGCCTGAAAGTTCTCTAGAAGTCACTGTGTGTACACTGCAGCCCTTGCTCCTCAAGTGCTTAACAACCTGAATCAACTCAGGAAGAAAAAAACAAGACGGCTGTAGTGCTTTTAGGGTGGGGTTCCTCTTGCTGTTAGCCTACTGAAGATTATAATTATTATTAGATAGCTGTAATATTAGTCACTCTAAGCCTTTTTAAAAAACAAAAACATTTTAAAACCTTACCCAAACCTCTTATAACCTATAAATTTAGCAATAACCGGGGGAAAAAAATGTTATTTATTGGTGTGGTTTTGAAAACTTTGTTTTCCATAAATGAGAAATTCACAGGTCATGATAGTTTCTTAGTGACATTTATTGCTTATGCTGCTGAGCAGTAACAACAAGCTGAACACAGGGAATATTTTGCTGCATTGCTAACTAAACACTTTATGTCCACCATTTTTCCCAGGAATGTAAATATGAGAAATTATGTAAATAGCAGAAAATTATCAACTATCATTCTCCCAGTTAACAAATATGAATGTTGAGAGACTGGGATGATATAAACGTCAACTGAAGAAGGTATCATTCAATTAAGTCAAAATTGTTTACCTGAGAAAGTGACAGAACAGAAAGCAAACTGATACGCTGTACAGGAAGCCAACCAAGTCACAGGATTTCCCACAGACTGTCAAAAGTACTAGTATAATTGTAGAGGAAGCAGATGTTGGGGAACGAGCAAGGTTGCAAGGTCTCTCATTTCAGTGGAAGCATAAGGCCGAATTGGAGCACTGGAAAGCATGAAGTGCTAGACAAAGAGGCTTGAAACTGTGAGTAAATACACTATGGTTTGATTCCTCTTAGGTTCAGGAGGGTATGATTTTGCGCGTTCTGGTGAAATATCAAGACTGCACATGACAAATATGGACTCCATTATTTTCTCTTTACGTAACAACTGAAAAATGCTGAGGTGTTGTCTAACTGTTTCAGGTGAAGTGCGTGACAGTGTTCTATAAATCTTCACTAAAACAGTTATTAAAAGCAAGGCTCTTATTGTTTTGTGTGAATAAGTTTCTTGAACTTTGTTGATATAACATACCTTGCCGTAAAATATCATCTTCCGTTTTCTTCTCTGTACTGCAAGTGACATTAACCTAAACAGGCAGAGAAGGTCCTAACATATTTTAAACACCTCTTTTAAAGAGGAGAGATATTTTTCTGTTTCAGAGCACACAAAACATTTTCTTCAGTAACAGAAACTGTAGTGATACCAGACACAGTGAAACAGTGGTCATTTGCTCAACATTGGAATGTCCTCTTACATGAAATGAGGCTTTGCCAGCATATGTTCATTTGAACAAAGGACAGTACAAAGCAGTACAACAAGTATCTTTTAATAACTCCACATGTATTATCCTTTTTCAGAATGACAGTGGCTATTTCTGGTCAGAAATTGCTCTGACAATAGTTGAGATGCTGCCTTTTTTTTTTTTTTTTTTATGATCCCATCCCAGCTAGAAAAAGAGAGACTTGGTAGTTTTAGTCACCTGGTTCAGTGGACATCAGCTAGCAGTTGCAGCCTGTGGATTCCAAAAGAGGGGGCACAAGCTTGAACCCAAAATCATAGTTCATATTTAGGAACTGATGCCATCCCTTTCTTGGAAAATTTGTGTATCAACTAATCTTCCTTTGAGCAGGTCAAGATGAAAGACAGAAATGGGGTGAAGGTTAGCAGCTACTGGAGGTTTCCAGAAACTAAACAATTCTTTGAGGAGAAAACAGTAGGTCTTTTAAACAGACTCTATAGATCTCTACATGTCTCTAGTTTTTTTAATAGACTTCTTTATGTGAAAGGGACTTACTTGTTTCTTTATTGTCCCTGTCTGTAAAGTTTTACTCACAGTCATTGTTCATGCCCTAGGAGGCCTCTGGTTTCTAAGAAGAATGCTAATTTACTTTTTTCCAGATCAAGTGGTTAATAATGCTTTTAGCATGCTACAACTACTGATTGTTCTTAGTCTAAAAATAAGCCATTAGGATTAATTTGCATTGCCCAAATTGGATAACATATGCGTAAAAAAATTTGTGAAGAGCAATGATATCAAAAGTTTATTTGCATGTAGTTAAAAATGGACAACAGATTGTTTCACCTAGGAGACGTGAAATGCAAGGGAAAATTTGAACTTCCTGCTTTGTGTAACTTGCATGTAAAACTAAAATGGAGACTTCTGTGCAGAGGAATATACAGGAATTGCTCTCTTTTTACATTGGCTAGAAAGTAGCAGTGTTCCAAAAGGAAGAGGGGGTAAATGGGAGTACTTGCCATGAGTAGATTTTAACATGAGGTCTTTATTGCAGGAAGAGACTACTAGTATTCTAATATTTCTTAAATCTTAAAAATGCAATTTTCCTGTGTATTTCCCAAAGTCTAATTTAACAGGAAATTTTCAAGGCGTATTGCTGCCCGGTGTAAGACTGCCAGTTGAAAATATATTTCACCAGAACAGTGTAATGATTTTTGCACTTAGCATCGTATCAAAAAAAATAAACCAACCTGGACCCTGTATTTCTGTAAATAAACATAACAGACATTAATGATGAGGAACTTTATTAGTGCTTTTTTTCATCTCACCCTTTAGTAAATTTCTCCCATCTCTTATGCAGTAAATCATCCAACCCAGAGAAGTTAGTATCAGGATTCTCTGATTTTTCTCTGCCTTTTCTCTGCCTTCCTTAGTCACTTTGTTATCCTTTTGGATGTCCTCTGTCTTTGTTACGTGCCTCCCAATCTTCAGACCTACTCCCATCTCTGTGAAGAATTCTGTTGATTTATTCCAAGAGAACACTGAGAGCTAAATCCCACCTCCAAAGCAGGGGGAGAGGAGAAGGGAAAAAAAAAAGCACAATTGTGGATAAAAAACAAAAAAACTAGAACTTGAAAAGACTGTTTTTCCATGTTGTTGTTTGCTTCTTTTTCTTTTGTGTTCTTTTTTTTCCCCTGAAGTTTTCTGTAAGCATTTTTCAATCCCACTTCCCAATTAATACTCTCATGAAAAAAAAACCCACTTCACTCTCAAATATTCTTTCTTCTTAGTTTTTTAATAGGGAGCATGTTAGTAATTGTAAATGGTTTGCAATCCAAAAATAGGAATAACAATAAGTGTTTGAAGAACTTTTGGTGCAAGCTGATAATGGATGATGCAGCTGTACTTTTATACATATTGTCATCTTTTCTATGTAAATATCAGTTGCAAGGTCCTGCTTAGCTGCTAGTGAGCTAATGACACTGCATATTTGAATTTTATTGGTCAATTGAGGAGGCAATATTAGAAGTATTTAAAGCAGATGAGACATCTTCTGCAGAACTGAGTAACTTCTTTAAACTTTGTGAGTATATATGAAAAACTATTCTGCAAATGCAATGTAATCTTAAAATTGGTGAATACCAATACTTGCATGAAAGAGGAAGGTGTACAGCTTACACTAGCTTCACATTTTTGGGGGTCAAAAAATGAAAAAGAACAGCTGAGCAACTTCTTGGATTTGCAAATTACACCAGGCAGCAGTGCTTTCATTGTGTTCTTCAAACCTAGTACTCTGAAGTCAGAATAGAGTTGCAACTGAAGTGGCAGTTTTGTGCATAATTAGAAAGCAGTTGTTATTCAGCTGAGATTGAGTGTATACATTTTCTTTGTGACCTGGAAATCCGGACGCTGAGAGACTGTGACAGGACTACTATTACCCAGTACAAAAGAATGCACTTTGAAATTGCGTTCACAGCACAGTTTTTAGGAAAAAGAGGGGGAAAGATAACTCTATAGTTTTACAAGCTTCTCAGAATATTGAAAGATAAGGAGTATGTGTTTTCACTAACATAAAATTTCTGCCAGGCCTCTGTACACTATATTACCATTACTGTATATCAAAACAGCTGAAACTGTTGCACTGGGCCCAATTGTAGAGTAAAATATAATAAAGCTTGGAATGAGGAGGTGTCAGAGAATCTCTCCATTTTTTTTCCAAAACTGTATGAAAAGTCAGGTCTTCATATTAAAGTCTGAAGTATCAAAACAGTAGCTATTATGTTTAAGAGAATACAGTTCGATACAAAACATTACTTCTTTTTGGGAAATCACTGAAAGTGTGCTTTTTTGTGTGTTTTGTTTTAGAGAAAGTGAATAGAAGACTGAGTGTAAAGGTCTGTTAAGTTCCAAATTGTGAAATTCAGCAATGATACACTGTGGAAAAAAACATATTTGTGCTATTGTTGTATGTATTCTTATTTTTGCAAGCATTTTAATCTGCTCCTGGAAAGATCCTCAGCTACAGAATAACATAACTAGAAAAATCTTCCACCAGGCAACAACTGCCAGTCCAACAGGTCAACTTTGTAGGGGAAAACCTGCTCAAAATGGAATAACACCACTAAAGGATAACAGAACTTTTATTATATCCCCATACTTTGATGACAGAGAAGGCAAAGTCACTCGTGTGATTGGGATTGTTCACCATGAAGATGTAAAACAACTGTACTGCAGGTTCTGCTGTCAGCCCGACGGAAAGATATATCTATCAAAAGCAAAAATTGATGTTCACTCAGATAGGTTTGGATTCCCTTACGGTGCAGCAGATATAGTTTGTTTGGAACCTGAAAACTGCGATCCGACACATGTATCAATTCATCAGTCTCCACATGGAAATATTGACCAGCTGCCAAGGTTTGAAATTAAAAACCGCAAGGCTGAGGCCTTTTCTGTTGACTTTACTGTATGCATCTCTGCCATGTTTGGAAATTACAACAATGTTTTGCAATTTATACAGAGTATGGAAATGTATAAGATTCTTGGGGTACAGAAAGTGGTGATTTATAAGAACAATTGCAGCCATCTGATGGAAAAAGTCTTGAAGTTTTATATCGAAGAAGGAACTGTAGAGATAATTCCCTGGCCAATAAACTCACACCTCAAGGTCTCTTCTAAATGGCACTTTTCTATGGATTCAAAAGACATTGGCTACTATGGACAAATCGCAGCTCT